ATGTACGTTGTGGGAATGTGCATGTCATAAGGCCACGTTTGGAAGAGGGAAAACACAACTTTCGTTTGAAGTTTTGAGTGGATTCAATGTATTACATTATTGGTTTTAATCCAGCTATGTTGATGTAGACAAATGATTTCTCTTCGAAATGTGAAAACCATATATTTTGTAATTCTAAAATGTAGTTGTGATTGCATGTAGATAAGAAATGGTGCTCGTGTCATACAACGAATCTATATTGCATTACATTTTATCCCTCTTTAAAATATCGTGTTCGAACTCATTTTCATGATTTGATGCCTTCTACACTTTGATATATGCAAACAAATTTCTTGTAATGTAGGCCGAAATTAAATTTTAAATGTCATTAGAATATAAAGTCTTTCAAAATGAACTCAAAACATATCAAAAATCTTGTGATAAGTTTGTGTTTTCCTATATTAGTTAGCATATTTGTTAGAAACATGATTAAAAATTGTGTCATGTTTTACGAGTTTCATTCTTTAAGGGTTCGTTTGATTGGTTTAAATTCCATAAAAAAAAATATCAAATCCCAAAAATTCAGTTTTTACTTTGGTTGTTTGATACAGAAGTAGAAATGGAGTTCGAATTCTAAGGTACCACCACTTTAAACTTGTTTTTTGTCAATTTCATGGAAAATGAATTCTTATGGGGTACTTGAGTTTTTTTTTTCAACTTATATGAAATTGAAAAGTCTTTCTACCTTTGCCCATCAAACGGATCTTAATTGAATTTTTATATGGACAATTAGGTAGGTTGAATTGTTTGTATGCTTTTAAATTTTGCTAAACCAATATGGTTCGTGTGGCCCAGTCGTCGAGCTCGATCAAATTTTTACCTTCATAAAAAAGGACATTATTGTCATTAATAGTATTTTATTTTTACTTTCATAACAATATGTAATGTTATCAAATACTTTTATAACAATGTATTTACTTAGTTATTTTAAAATGAAAAAAAAAAAGGTTATCTATTTAATCTCGATATTATAAAATTACAAAATAAAAGCATAATCTATATAGAAGAAAACTATTCAAATTAAATTAAAATTATTTTTAAAGCTTCAGATTTGCAGTAACTTGTTACCTCGGTTTATTTTTGGAATATTAATAAATCTACGATAGAAACGAGACTGATTTAAATAATTAGGAATAAAATTGATATTTTATTTATAGATAATTGAAGAAGCTATCAATTTACTACTTTCCAAAATCTGCTCCCAAATGATACGGATTATCTCATCACACACCTAAAACGACTGAACATTGTTAGACAATCAGAATTTTGGACTCCAAATGGGACCTAAGACCTAATCCCACTACATCTGTATCTATTATGCTATATTAAGTTGGTAATTACACTAAACCAAGCATTATGTTTGACATTGTAAAAAATCAGGTTTCAACTTTGTTTATTCAATCTTCAGGTTTTTATTATTTTGATTAATTATGATATTATAAAATTAAATTATACCCACCCTATTACCTACCCACCCACCCACCAAATTTCAAAATCTCAAACCCTAAATTGACAGAACCCGTCTCTCCCCTCTTCATTATCGTGCCCGACGCCTCCCTTCTCCTCCTCCTCTCCTTCACCCTCTCCCTCCTGCCCCTTCTTCGTCGTCTCCTCCTCCCCATTTTCCCCCTTTCTCCCTCCATCCACAGCAACCCCCTTCTCTCCCCTTTTCCTCATGTTCCCTTCGTGTGCGCTGTTGTGAACGGAACGGCAGCAGTGCCTCGACCCTGCTGCCTTCACAGCAGTGTCGCGACGCTGTAAACGACAGGGCGACGCTGCTATGGGTCTATAGGTGTGCGGGGTGGTGATGTGAGTTTGCGGTCAAGGCTCTGCTTGGCCACTATCATATCCTCTTCGAAGCTGGTTCGTCCGTCTCTTACCATTTTTTTCTCCGTGGTGCGGTGGCAGTGCAATGGGTGTGCTGTGGGTGTGCGCTGTGTGTGGGGGGGCTGTGGCAAATGTCGGCGGTTTGGGTTAAGTTTTCATCCGGTCGTATTTTCTGTAGCTGGTTAGTTTGTATTCGTACGATGGTGATAAACTTGGTATGGATCTGTGGTGGCGGTCTGTGTAGTGGTGGTGGGGGTCGTCGTTTTTTGTTATTGTTGTGAATAATGAAGTTAACTGTAACCTTCATAAGATATATGTAATCTCGGAATCGGAGCAGTTATCTGAATTAAACTAACTGTGACATTAGTAAGTTATATGTGACCTCAATAAGATATATGTGATCTCGATATTGGAGCAGTTATCTGAATTAAGCTAACTGTGACCTTAATAAGATAACTTTGACCTTATAATTTTTTTGATGAGTGACTACTGAAGTTAACCGTGACCTTAATAAGATTTCTGTGACCTCGAAATCGGAACAGTTTTCTGAATTAAGCTAAGTGTGACCTTAATAAGATATCTGTGACCTCGAAATCGGAACATTCATCGGAATAATAACCGGAATTAAGTACGGCCGAAAAGTAGTCGCCGGAGTAGCCGCCGGAGCAGTGGAGTGGAGTGGGGTGGGGTGACGTGGGTTGGATTAATCATATTATATTATAGTTAAATATTTAATTTAATAGATTAATTGTAAAATATAATTAATAAATTAATGAAAAAACCTGAGTTTTGTAATTTAAAACTTTGGGACCTTATTTTTAATTTCCTGAAAGTAAATTCCTGAACCATAAATTTTTTCCTATATTAAGCCCCTGTTTGACATTCCTAAATCCAGAAAAATTTCCACTTTTTAATCCTACATTCTCCAAAAATATTACTATCCCAAAACTATATAATTTTTTTCAAAAAACTTGTTAAAATGGAAGTCAAACAAAAGCTATCCTACCGCATATCTCAACCTTCATTCATAATTACAGTTTATTTAGCTCATAACTTCAAGCTTATATTTTCCCCTTCTGTTCGCCGACTCAAGCATTAGAGAAGCAAGAACATCTCGCAATGCCTTTGTTTCAATTACAACTTTGTCCGAGGCTTTGGTCAATCCTTTTTCAGGACACATTTGACATGACTTTTACTCTTCCTTTTGCTTCGTTTAGGAGAGTATTTGGAGGAAGCTGATTTAATTTTTTTGAAAGAGCTTCCTACTTTGAAAGTGCTTTTAGAAAAAGCTACATTGGACAAGTTTGTTCTAAAAACACTGCTAATTAGAAAAAGAACTTCCATAAAATTAGCAAAACGGGTCCTTAGATCAAGTCATGCATTAATGTCAAACACAAATTTTAGTAGAATAAGCATGCAAAATTTTTTGTTTCATATGAATAATTATATTGACAAACAGTTGATTTTTTTCAAAAACTAGTGCATTTTGGGTACATCATGAAACTAAACTTGTTTTTGCTAGTTATGGTCTATCTTCATAATCAATCCAAAACCAGCAGATGCAATGCAGACATTCAGCAGTAATGCAGACATTCAGCAGTAATGCAGAATGATGTCCAACAACTCACTTGGAACAAATTGCTCGAGAATATTAACTCACCACTTTTGACAGCACGCTTAGCAGATTTGTCGTGAAAAGACCGGTAATATTATTTTGAGGCACATTAAAAGCAAGCATAAATGGGAGAGGCCGTTTGTGAGAATTTGAGCAGCAGTTAATCACTGTTCTTTCCCTTTTATCCTCATTACCTTAACTAAAACTCGAAAACTTAAATAACATCAGGAGAGAAACAAGTGTTTCAAGTTCTAGTCTTTCCTATCTAGACATATTAATATTCTCCCCCATTTACAAGGGTACTTAATAAACATTCCAGCCTCTTAAGGCTCACAATCTAACTAGAGCCCATATCTTCTCGTCTTGTTCCAATTCTCTTCATCTCTCCTTTCTACCCTACCACTAACTTCTTGTTGGGCATGCTCTATTGCATATAATCAGACCACAATGTCTGAATTTCATACTTAACAGACAGATGTTTGAATATCATCCATCCCACCTCAGTTAGTCACCCAACTTCCCAAAGATGCTCAACCACCTCCCTTATTTCCACTCACTTTTTCCTCGCAGGGGATTTCAATATGAATATTAGCATTTAGGAGAGTTTCTCACAGTAAGACTTAAGAGAAGACTACAACTAAATTACATGCTTAATGAACAAAATAATTATAGATAGGATTGATATAAGCCTTTCCATACCTAGGTGGTCACAAACTTATATGAGACGGTGATTTTCATGCATTTACAATGCACATGTATGAATGGACTCCCTTGACAATGGTGCCATTGTCATATTATGATGACCATGACATTTAACATATGATGAATATATCCCCTGTTTGAGCCACATTATTTTTTCATTCTCATTTTTCTACTCATTTTCAACTCCACATTCTTCAATAAAATAATATTTTCCACCACATCAATAATTTTTCCTCCTTTTTCAACCATATATTCCCCATAACATAAAAAAAAAATGCATTCTTGGGGGGAAAAATGTGCACCAAACAGGGGCATAGTATGAGATCGTAATACTTACGATTATGATAATGATTTCGTAATGCTAGGATATCTTCCATGTGGATAATTATGCTAAGGTGGCATCATTCCATTGTCAATATTTTTATGATTAGAATCCAAGAATGCTATGGTATAGTGAGGTTGATTATCACATATGGTGTTATGGGATGAAGATTATGTCAAAGGTTTCCAGTGAAATTTAAGGATAACAGCATGAATCCCAGCCCCCAAAAAAAAAAAAACACATAAATAATCAGAAAATAATATGTTGATGTTATGGCAAGAAAGATGTGCTGGTACGGTTTTATGTGTTCAGGGGTATCTACAGTGTTGATAATCTTGAGAATATATAGAACATACTCTCTTTTTCAATGTATTTCAGCGGTCATCAGCTCAAGAAATTTCCTACAAACAGGAGTTGTGCAGGGAATAGAGCGGAATGAACATGGGATAACAAATTCGTACTATATCCCTGATCCATTCCTGTGTTTAGCATGTGCTATGGAGCAACAGTGCCATATAACGAAACAATAACAGAATAGTAGTTTTTACTGTTGATGCTAGGAGGCAAGAAGACTGGATTACAGCATGGAAAGGGATATGTGAAGAATGCAAGTTCAAACACTTTGAACGTGTTGATCAGAAATCCTTCATGTGAGAGCTTCTAGACCTGGTATAATGACAGAAGTAGGGATGGGCAAATGGATCTATAACAGCAACAGCACAACTCACTGCAACTCATATGCCTCTTTCCACTGTCTAGTTCTATAAGTACCAATTCATTTGCAGCACATTAACATATTATTTTCACGTGCCCCTTTCCTGGTAGAAGGGGAAAAAAGATATTTTTCTTCTAGACAACCTTATCGTCAAACTTGGGACAACCCACTAATACAAGACTAATCCTAGTGACCTTTTTAGAAGCTTCTCCAATAAATTAGATGAGTATGACAAGCAGCATAAGAGAGGATTATTTACTATCACTACTTCAAGAGATGTGAATATAACAGGAGAAAAGATAAAAAATATGTTTTGACAATAGAAATAGTAAAGAGGACAAATGGTTAACATGTCACAGAATTTCAAGAAAAAGATATGTAGTAACATTGCCAGACCTAAACATCTAAAATATTAATGCAATAAACACTGATTCTTGCCATAATTATCATTTGGACCAAGGCATATGCACCTACTGCTACTACGACTAATACGACCACCACCACCACCACTACTGCTACGACGACGACGACTAATAATAATAATAATAATAAATGCATTTATGTGCTGAACAATGACCATAACATAATGCAAATTAAGGTCGTGTGAATACACACAACATTTCTATTAAAATAAATGACATGGAAATTGTACCATAACAGCTGAATATTAATTGTTTCTTTCTTGAAAATTGAAAAAATCTACACAGTCAACTACCTTTTAAATTAATATATAAAAGGAAGGAACTTGTACCTAACCTTATTCATGTACTCGGTATACCTCTCTCCAAAAGTCTCTAGCATCAAGCCCTCCTCTAATTTTGCTTTTTGCCCATAGTACAAAATACAAACCGCAACTATAAATAGAGCACTCATGGGAGCTCTGAGTGCAGTGAAATATGTAACAAACAGGAGCATCGTGGACGCATAGATCGGGTGGCGAACAAACCTGTATGGCCCAAACTGGACAACAGCAGTGGGCACAACCACCTTCTCGGAATACTTAGCCAAATACAAAGTGGAGTGATACTGCATGAACACAGTCAACACAATCAAAAGCCAAATACCCACAATGTTCCACCCACCAGGAATTAGATGCAGTTCTGTCCCTTCATATGCTGCTAGCCAATGTCCAACCATCACTCCAACACAAAACAAAAGCTTATGCCAATTGGGCAGACTAATGTTCCACTTCGTATCATGCTTCCTAGGATAATAATCACCATATAACCGCTTTCGGACACTCACATTGAGGAAAAAGAAATAATGGTACACGAAAAAGAACACAAAGGGCCATCCTTCAAGAAAGCCATTGAAATGAGCAGGTGGGGCTAATGTTAGCCAAGTGAAAGCTGAGGTAACGATGGCAAGTTGCTCTAGCACACTAGCTTCACCCCCTAAATGCTTTTTAAGACTATAAAAGCCATAAATTGCAAGGCCAATTGCTACTAACCATGGCCAGAACAACCACGTCCAGCTAAAATACATCCAGAAAAATGGGTTGAAGAGTAAAGTCAGACTCCATTTTGACGCTGCAATTGCAACTGAGAATATCAAAAACCACTTGCAAATGTCAACTGGGGTCAACTGCAAAAGGGTTGATTTCAAAGACACAAAATTGAAATTTCTGAGACTTTTCAGCAAGGGGTTCTGTGAGTCAGCAATCTTTGCATCGGAACTTGAATATGAGCATCTGAGCAGGTGGAAACGATTTGTAGTTTCAGAATTTGCAGCAGATAACGGAGATGCAAAATTTGACTGTAAACGAGAGGGATTTCCACAGCTCTTCAGTGATAAACTAGGTAGATTACCAAACTTGGTTGCATGTAAGACATAGCGATTTAAAGGAGTTCTGATAAGCTTCAGACTGTTCAGGGCGAGGGCATTTTTTACGGATAAACTTCTGTCTTCGAATTGTTTGTTGAAAGGTCTGAACGAGGTTAAACTGTGTTTGGGCGGGAATGTAAACCCAAAAGGTGTGACTTTTGAACATACCAAAGAAGTAGCTGCTTCCATGGGGGGTACAGGACCGGTGGTTTTGGGTATTTCACCTATGACACTTGACTTGAGGAGCAGCCAGTTTTTAAAGCAAGAAGAAAACCATCAACAACAGCATAAAAATTCAAGAGAAATGTTGTCGAAAAAATCACTTCCAGAGGAAGATTACCATCAAGAAGCAACAAATTTGGAAAATAAATTATAAGGAGTTGAGTTGAGATTAAATCATTAACAACAATAACATCGAGTGCGATTTCAACATATAAAGCCCATTTTTACACTAATAAAACCCGATACTACCTTCCAATTTTGTTGATGAAGAAGTTAAATAGAAATCACTGCAACACAAGATAGATTCGAGCCAAGGGGTGATGAATGTCACCCTTTCTGCTTCTCCCCCAATTTTTAACGTTATACCGAGGAAGAAAGCCGCTTATCTCCCTTACATATATGAATAAGCCCACAGACTTGTAACCTTGGATTGCTGTTGTAAATTTTTACATTATGAATCTATGGATTATGCTACATGTACCGAATTTTTTACACTTCACTCACGTTAGGAGGTGAGGATCACCAGTCGAAATTTTTAAATACATATGGGGCCTGGGCGCATTGTGAGGGGGGACACCATTCCGTCCCCCCATTCGGTACATTTAGACTAATTCTAAATCTATTCCCTTATAATCTATTCTTGATTTAGATGTATTTAATTTCTTGTATGAGCTTCTGGTCCATCCATCTTAGCCCAAGTTCTTAGTTCTTATATGTTGGTTATTGTTTTCATATTTCAAGTGAAGTGGGAGTTTACCATTTCGGTCATATTGCAAATGATTTTCTTCAATTTTTTTTGAACTGGTGTATTATGTTCTTGATCTTTTTATCCACTTCATATTCTTCAAAAATAAGTTTTAAGTTGCGAGGACAAATGCTAACAATTAAGTGCTATTTTTATTAATTAATTTTAGCCCTCATTTTTATTGTTTATTTTCTTTAAGGGGATAAAATAAAAATTTTAGTCCTCAAGGTTTATTGTTTAAATTTTTATCATATATTTGAAGTAAGAGTTGCTATATGGAAAAATCTATGATAGCCACACGACACAGTTGATATACTTCAGGGAATGTAGATATACTATGATTCTTTTATTCTTCTTGTTTTCATCCGAGTATTAAACTTATTGAATATGACAACTCAATTAGGTGCATAATAACAGTTAGGAGTTGGCAAAACTCAAACCAACTCGAGTAAACTGTTTGATCCGACCAAAATCGACCGCGTTGGGTCGGTTTTTTGCTTTCTTTAGGTAGGTTTCGGGTATTGGGTTGGGTAGTCATGTTGGGTCAGGTTATGGGTTAACAATCTAAACCCAACCCGACCAGACCCGACTACATTAAAAATTTTAAAAATAAATAAAAGGGAAAACGGCGTTAAATTGAAAAACAAAACTTTAAAAGCCAAATCACCAGTCGCCTCTCCAGCCTTCACGCTCGCCAGTCGCCTTAAAGCCAAATCTCACTAGTCAATTTCTCTCAAATTGCCGGCGGAAATCTTCTGAGTAGTAATTTCTTCATTTCTTTCGGCATATTTCTCTTTTTTTTCCTTGGTTCTCTCCATTTTTTAATTCTTAATGCTCGCATATATGACCATTTAGGGTCTTTTGAAAGTGAAAGATATTTTGCAATATTTGGCATTGTTGACTATTTTGAGAGTTCCGACGTATAAATCCACAAACATCATCGGAGAAACACAAATATTTCATTACACCTTGTTTTTGGTTGCTCACTGTTTTCTTCGCAGTTGTCCTAACCTTCAAGAACTCGAGTTGTTTGTAAGTTTTCTTGCATCTTCCCTACGGTTGCTACATGTCCATGTTTTGCTTTAATATAATGCTTCTAGCCATTCATTTTTTATAGAATGCTTTTGGTGTAATCATAATTTTTGTGCAATATGTTGGTAGATATGGATGTACCGGAAGAAAGTGGCACTGGCACACAAGCTCAATCAGACTCAAATGCCACAGATTTGCAATATGGTCTTCCTCCACGTGCACCGTCAACATTGGGAAAACAAAAATCTAATAGACTTACTTCTTATATTTGGGATCACTTCGCTCTATTAGGCTCAAAGGATGATCCAGATGTTATGTGTAAGTGTAATTATTGTGGAGTAGATTATGCTTGTGGCACTAAGAAGTATGGTACTAGTACACTGAGTAATCATTTGACCAATAAATGTAAGAAGTATTCAGGTAGAATAGTGGATAAGAAGCAGAAAACCTTATTATTTGAGAACAACAAAGAAGGTGGAGGGAGCAATTTTATTGTTGTTGGTCGAAGCAAGGAAGAGTGTAGAGTTGCATGTGCTAAAATGATAGTTGTGGATGAATTACCTTTTAGGTTTGTCGAAGCTTATGGTTTTAGGCATTTTTGTAGTGTAGCATGTCCTCACTTTCAGCCTCCATCTCGTAGGATTCTCGTTAAGGACATTTATCAATTGTATTTGGATGAAAAATTGAAATTGAGATATGCATTTCATTTTCACCGTCAAAGGGTTTCCCTTACAAATGATACTTGGACTTCTACTCAGAATGTTAATTACATGTCTCTTACTTCACACTTCATTGATTCTGAATCGACGCTTAATGAGCATATTTTGAAATTTTGTGTCGTTACAAATCACAAGGGAGAAAT